CCAGAGAAACATGAACTTATGATTTACTGAATAATGATTCCTGAAAATTCAGATAAACATTTAAAAGAAATTAAGCATGAATGAAAAAGCAAAAACACTCAAGATTCATTTAACAGAGGTATTATAGGGGAACCAAAAATTATGACTCAGTTAAAAACAAATGATCTGTTCGAAACAATTAGTTATAAAAGGATTTCTCCCCAAAAGAATGCATGTAATCAAATTAAAGTCTGTTTTTATTTTTTTATTTTGCGTGTGTGTCATTTTCCTTTTGTTCCAAAAGAACATGAATAAATTTCATGGTTTTTGCACATCTTTAGCTGGGGTGCCAACAAATTCCTCTCGATATGTGTATGTACAATGTTAATGACTAAAGCGATTAACTTTAAGAGGCATCAAAGAACTATGGGTGACATGGAAATGCATTTGCAAGACAAAATATAAAAGATGAACATTTTAGCTTCAGTTGATTCATACATACAGAGCAAATTATTTGTAATATTTGCCCCTTTTCTCTCTTAGACTGGTAGCGGATTTTTTGGCTGCTAATCTCTCTTGCAGCCGATTGCATTTTGCTACCTATTCTGTGTTTAGAATCATCAAAATGTTGCTTACTTTTGAATAATAAGTTATAGATATAATGGATGATGTTCTTTTTCTTGGTGGATCATTAAAATAAGTGGTCCTCCTAATTGTCAATCTTTCTGGTGATATTCCAAAAAAGTTAAAAAACAATCCAACCGTACCGAAACGTCTTTTCTTTTTGAAAGTAAGCTTGTATGAGCGATGCAAGCAGCAACTTTTAAACAGAGCGTGCACGAGGACAAATGGGCTCGTGCATGCTCTTGCACGCTTTTAAAGGGCATTCCCTCTCTGGAGCGGGTACAGGGTTGTACATGTGCTTTTTTTTATAGTGAGGGGCAGGTCTTTTTAAAAATGTGCAAAACCCTCCACTAAACCTTTAAAGAAAAAGAAGGAGAATAAGCTTTTTTTCTAATCTTCTTTTTTTGATCATCCTGGGTTATAATATTTATAATACTATAAAACACATAACATCCAGAAGAACATCAGTGGACATAAGAAAAAAAAAGGCAAAGTGTTAGGATGGGTGTTCCTTCAGACGGAGGTCATTAAAGGAAAGCAGAAAGAAGCTGTCTAATAAAGCAAAGAGGCAAGTGGTGATTCTTGGCTGACGGCCCGTTTCAGAAGCACACGCCCCAGTGTGCACCCTATTCACTGAGGCTGTGTGTGTGGGTAGGTGGATTGAGGTTATTGATTAGTGGTTGCAATGAGCTTGGACAGGAGGTCCACTGCACCGCCTCTCCATACACACAGATACAGCCCCTGGTCTGCACAGCCACATCTGCAGGAACATTTTGTATCAGCGCTGCAGGCTGCTGAGCTGCCCATTGATCGGTTTCTAGCTCTAAGAAAAATGATTCCTCCGACATAGCGCCAGCATAGTAAACTCTTCAGGTGCTTTTTTCAAAAAGTACTTATGATCTGATGTGATTATTTGTAGGGGAGGGGGGGAGAGATTTCAGCAATAAGAGCAATAAAAAAAGAGAACCACATAATATCTCATCTCAATGCCTCATTAGGATGCTTTATATCCCATAGGTCCTGTTTCCATTTGTTGCACGTCTATAGCGATGATTTTATTGTTGTAGTTTTTTTAAATCCCTAATTGAAATTTATGCATAATATAGTTGCAGATTGCAATATGTCACAAACTAGATTTTTGTCAATAAAACATTAAGCATAGCAACTATTACATTAATTGATAGATGGTCACAATTATACAAATGACCAAACTGGTTAACCTTTAAAATAACTGTTTTAGGTAACTCAACATAAGGTATTTAAAATTCCCATCTTGTTTTGTTTTTTTACACTGTTCATACAAGGTGTAAATCTGTGGTGTAATGAAGGATGTATGATGCTGTGGGCTGGTTTCTCTGATAAAATAACTGGGATTCTGTTAGTGTGACTGGTGACAAGAGCTCTTTAAATGCCAATCTAAAGTGAAGATAGCTCCTGACTGGGTGCTTGAGCTGGATAATAATCCTCATATGTAGTCAGATATATGCAGAAATGTTTAATCTGACAGTAAATATACAGTATCTAGTTTCTTTTCTGTCCTAATCCCCTGCACTAAATTCTTTACAAGGCCTGTGGGCTGAGCTGCAGACAAGAGAGCATAAGAAAGGACCAAGGATACGGAGTTATGTAAAGAGCAATGGTCAAATGCTCAAATGGTGTGCTTTATTTAGCCTTATGAATTTTTCTAAAACTCCTACTCTGCATAAAAACACAGGGAGCATAACTGATGTGGGTTCTTTTGAAAATAATTTCACTCTGAACATATTTTTTTTTCTCACAGAAATGAACTGATGTTAAAAGTTAGTATGAGTATGCTGCTATGATGAAATATATATCTGAACATTTGAAAAATGTTTTCATTGTCTGTGGAAACAAATTATTAATAAAAAGCTTTCCCCTTGCTGCAGTTCAGAATGTATTCTTATGATCATTGCTACTGATAAAATGTAATTATTTTACAGCTAGTTAGTTGGAGTGTCTTTATTTATTCTTGTTTATGATTTATGCTGCAGTTAAAAGCAAGGACCTCATCCCCTCTGCTACCATCTAGTGGAATCATTAAGTATTCAACAGGAGTGTTTTTTTTATTTTTATGTTTTCATATTTTGTTTATTTTGTTGTGGGTTTTCCCCCACTTTTTGGGCCCTTGTCTGTTTATCTGCTTTTATGCTTTCAGTAAAAACACAGCAAATATTGATTTTGAAAAACTTGTTTTCTGTCTGCATTTTCGAATAAAGGGGACATAACGAGATGGAGATGTTTTCAGACATGCAGTATAGACCAAAAGTTTGGACACACCTTCTCATTCAAAGAGTTTTCTTTATTTTCATGACTATGAAAATTGAAGATTCACACTGAAGGCATCAGAAGTATGAATTAACACATGTGGAATTATATACTTAACAAAAAAAGTGTGAAACAACTGAAAATGTGTCTTATATTCTAGGTTCTTCAAAGTAGTCACCTTTTGCTTTGATTACTGCTTCGCACACTCTTGGCCTTCATGAAATGGTCTTCCAACAGTCTTGAAAGAGTTCCCGGAGATGCTGAGCGCTTGTTGACCATTTTGCCTTCACTCTGCGGACCAGCTCAACCCAAACCTTCTTGATTGAGTTCAGTCCGGTGATTATGGAGGCCAGGTCATCTGGAGCAGCACCCAATCACTCTCCTTCTTGGTCAAATAGCCCTTACACAGCCTGGAGGTGTGTTTGGGGTCATTGTCCTCTTAAAAAATAAATGATGGTCCAATTAAACGCAAATCAGATGGAATAGCATGCCGCTGCAAGATGCTTTGGTAGCCATGTTGGTTCAGTGTGCCTTAAATTTTGAATAGATCCCCAACAGTGTCAATAGCAAAGCACCCCAACACCATCACACCTCCTCCTCCATGCTTCACGGTAGGAACCAGGCATGTAGAGTCCATCTGTTAACCTTTTCTGCATCGCACAAAAACACGATGGTTACAACCAAAGATCTCAAATCTGGACTCATCAGACCAAAGCACAGATTTCCACTGGTCTAATGTCCATTCCTTTTGTTCTCTTGCCCAGTGCCTTCCTAGCAGCTATTTTACCATGAAGGCCTGATTCGCACAGTCTCCTAACAGTTGTTCTAGAGATATTTCTGCTGCTAGAACTCTGTGTGGCATTGACCTGGTCTCTAATCTGAGCTGTTGTTAACCTGCGATTTCTGAGGCTGGTGGCTCGGATGAACTTATCCTCCACAGCAGAGGTGACTCTTGGTCTTCCTTTCCTGGGCCGGTCCTCATGTCAGCCAATTTCTTTGTAGCGCTTGATGGTTTTTGCATCTGCACTTGGGGACACTTTCAAAGTTTTGCCAAATTTTTTGAACTGACTGACCTTAAAGTAATGATGGCCACTCGTTTCTCTTTACTTACTCGCCTTTTTCTTGCCATAATACAAATTCTAACTGTCTATTCAGTTGGACTATCAGCTGTGTATCTACCTGACTTCTGCACAACACAACTGATGGCCCAACCCCATTTATAAGGCAAGAAATCCAACTTATTAATCCTAACAGGGGACACCTGTGAAGTGGAAACCGTTTTAGGTGACTACCTCTTGAAGCTTATCAAGAGAATGCCAAGAGTGTGCGAAACAGCAATCAAAGCAAAAGGTGGCAACTTTTAAGAGCATATGTTAATTCATAGTTTTGATGCCTTCAGTGTGAATCTTCAGTTTTCATAGTCATGAAAATAAAGAAAAGTCTTTGAATGAGAAGTTGTGTCCAAACTTTTGGTCTATACTGTACCAAAATTAAATCTTGATGATTGACACCATTTGTATGCCTTATTAGACTACTTCCTCTGTAAGGAAATTAAAAACTGTGTTCCTAATTATATGTTGTTATCCTATGATCTCTATCTCTATTTTCTTTTTCCATTTTTCATCTATATAAATAAGCTACATAGAAGACTAAGAGAGTCTTTGTAGTAATGATTTTTCTTGGTTTACAATATATATCAATCATTTTAAAATGATAGAAACTTAGCTTTATTTGTTTTTGCTTATAATGGTTAAACGTGTATATATAAAGACACATTTCTTTGCCCTGCTTGATCTGAAAGGTTTTGCATATTCTCGATTGTGTTTGTTTTCCAATAATTAGTTTATGGCAACATCTTTATATTTGTATCCCCTCAGTCACTTATATTTTATTTCTTTCGGATGAATTTTATTTTTCTTTCTCTAATTATTGTGATTTCAGCAGTTTTCCGGTCATTTATTTAATCTTATTTTAAAATCTTATTTTTTAAACTCAGATTCTGACTTTATCAGAACAAAGCTCAAACATACACTGGTGATTAAGAACTCTGGGCAATGAGTAGACCAATCACAACTCCATGTCCCAGAATGCACTTCCTCCTTTTATTCCCATCAGCCCCTGCGGTTAGCTCCCTGCACCGGTCAAGATGGCGGACAGACCAGGTAGCCTAGCGTGTCCTCTGTTAAATTATCTCTTCTTTTTTTTATTTCCTGAGCATTTTGTGTGATTCTATCGACAGCTTCTGGTGCTTTCTTTGTTAATTTATAACCTCGGTAGTGGCTTAGTTTGCTGTTGGTTTGTTTCGGACTGAAGGCCGCACTAAATCCTTTGACTCACGTCAAGGACTTTCAGCGGCAGCCCCATTGAAAACATCAACCTCCCCGTTTATTTAGGACTTTTAACTGATAGTCTTCACTGTTTGAAAATAAATAACTAATTTCTTTTTGTATTGAGTAGTTACAATCGCGGGTTTGTCGTATAAAGGCTTATTTTGCTAAGTGTTACGCTCACGTTAATCTGAATTTCAAACCTCACATCAAAAATGACTGGTTAAAACCTGATAAATATGGTCTTACATTGTTAACATTAGGTTTTTGAGTTGCATATTCTCCTTCTAGTGGCGCGTTTTTAAATGTCTTTTCCTGTGATCAGTTCCAGTTGTTGAGAAGCGCCTGATGGACGTAAAACTGGGAGAACTGGGAACCTGGATGGGAGGTCGAGACTTCACCCCCAACGGGCTCCTCGCTGCGATCCGCAGAGGTGAGCTGATCAGACTCTGACTATACCAGGAAACCTGCTGGACTTAACTCTACTGACCTGATCAATATGAACGAGCTATGGTTTTATAAATCTGCACAACACTGAAAAAACGTGACATTGTGATGAAAATGGTTGTCACATTTTCCCCAATTAAAAAAAAATTAAGCTTCTCAGCAAATTAAATAAATCACTGTTTGTAATCATAGCCACAAAGGACAGATTAAATGCTGTATATTATATTTCCAGTGCTGTCAATGTAAATCCTGCAAAATTCATACATTAGTTTTAACTACATTTTCATTTAGTCCGTTTTTTTCTCAACAAAATGCAGAAGAGCACACAAATGCACTGACACTGTGAAGAGGGAAAAATGAGGCTTAATCATAACTGATTTAAAGTTTTGCCATAGCCTTGTATTTCCCTGATATTGCACAGTTCACCCATGCCATCATGGCTGTTCTGGTAAAAATGATCAATCCCCATTTTTTCCCCAGAATACCTTGTAGCTCTGCATCAGAGTTCAGAGGAATTATTAAAAACTTGTATCAGACATATTTTATATTAACATGATGGTTAGCTCTAACAGGTAACATGTGTATCAAGATATTGTTCAGCCTTAGCTGCATTTGCCCCTGAAAATTCCTCATCGGACTTAAAAGTAGGGCATAGATGGACCGCAGTAAAAATAGTGACAACACATGTGGACCCAAAAGTCCTCCTTAGATTATGATGGTCATGAAATTTTGTCCCAGCAGTCATACCAGCTGGAAAATAGCTTTTTGGACATGATGGTGTAGGATTGTTTACTCTTTCAGCATTCTTGAATAAATGGATGTTTTGGCCTAATTTCCTTCCAACATCTGTATTCTTAAAGCTCTAAAGATCTTACTAAGGTAGCAGCAATACCTATAAAAATACAAATAGCTGTAGTGTTCATCTCCCAGTAAATCAGACCTCAACTATCCTTCCCTCCTGTCTGTGAATTTCCCTCTGAATGTTCAATCCTTATCAAATACTAAGTTTTTTTTTTTTTTGTTCCCAACGGTCCTGTTTTCAGGTCACGACAGATACTACAACAAGTACATCAATGTAAAGAAAGGAGGCATCGGTGGTGTGGCCATGCTGCTGGCTGGATACGTGGCCATCAGCTACCTGTGGGAATACGACCACATCAGTAAGATAACATTCAGAAATCACATTTCTAACCTTTGCTTACTTTTAGTTTTCCCCATTTTAACTTTAATTTCTTCCTACAGAGCACGATCGCTGGAGGAAGTACCACTGAGCCTTTCCAGCAGCCATCACACCATCGGGGGTTGAACCAGGAGTTCCCAGCTCCCCTCGCTGTTTATACCCTCAGTTATATTGTGTTAATATGTGACCAATAAAAATTATAAGTGTATGAGAATGTCTTTTGTGCAGCAACACCAAATTTGACAAAAAAATGCCTTTAATGGTACAGACCACAAAATCCAGACTGCATCAGTTGGCATTAAATAGCAGAATCCCAGCTGAGGTGATAAAACCTCCCCAGAAGGCTTTAGGTTCTCGCATCGACGGTGGAGACTGTAGTTCTCAGTTCCTGATGCTTTGCAGTCAGACATTAGGCGCCACCACATGGCCTTAGATGTACAGTAATAAAGCGACGGCAATGCTGTGCAGAGACGCTGTCAAAGGGACCATCTGCATTTCATTTATTCCTCCATTTTACAAGAAGTGTCCAGCACAAGAAGATCTGAATCTTGAACATCTGATTTTATCTTCTGTAAAATGAATCGTTCCTGTTTTTCAATGGCAGTAAACAGTTCGGTTTTCCTTTCACACTGCCTGCGTTTCCACATGGTTAGATGCTCCTCCATGTTCATAACCTGGAGCTGTTCGTGCTGCTGTTCCATCCAGGGAGACTGGTTACCATGGTGTTTAGACCTGAAGGCTATTGTCCGCTCAGGAAGGCGAGGTGACCTTTATTACATTTGTTGGCATAGTGGCCCTTCTCTCCACACTGCAGGCAGATGAAACAAAAGATCAAATGTTCAAAAGGAAATATTAATCACAACATCAACTATTTTAGCTTTAATACATAGTCCTTCAAAAACATATTCACACTTCTTGGTTTCATGACAGAAACACAACTAGAATGAACGGAGAATCTACCTGCTCATCCACCTGAGGAAAAACTGAAGGCGACCATTAGGCATATTGTGACGGGTGAATCTGTTTACAGGGTTAACTGTTACCTTCAGTCACAATCTGGCCTTTATGGAAATGTGTTAAATCCAGTATTTAAAAAGCATCAGGGGTTTAAGCAGGAGACCCAGCAAACATGTTGAATGGTTTTTAGTTCACATGAGACCAAAACTAAACATGCTGCAGAAACCAGATATCTCCAAACCAGCAGCAGATCTAAACCCAAACAAACATCTGATATGTTCTCTATCCAACGGCAGCAAAATTAGAAAAATCAACTAAGCGGCACTAAGCACAAATACAGTTCATTGTTTGTTTTTTTTATTGAACACCTTGTAATTATTTCCTTTAAAGTCACAAGTATGCACAATTTTCTAGAGAGCACGTCAAAGTCTGGTTGTCATAATGTAAAATTTAATTCTTTAAAAAGACATTTTCTGGGATTGCCCAAGGATGAAAATATTCTTGAAGGATGTCAAGAATATAATTTAGGACATTTTAGGAATAAACATTCCTAAAGATTCCTTTCTATTTCTCGATCTGTATCCAAGGGAATTATGGACAGATCAACAATTCTACATATACTTCCATTGGTAGCAAGAAAAACTATCATAAATTGGCTGAATCATGCTCAACAACCATTGCTGCAAAAACTAAAACAGGTACCGTATATCAGATTACCTTAAATTTGAGATATTTTTAGGGACATAGTTACATGTGGCATTTATTTTTAAATCACCCATTCTTTATCATCTCATGTATTTTTTAATTAACGGGTGAATTTAACTGTATTATAAGCCTTTTAATGCCTTTTTATGAGCCAACCATCCACACCTTATATTCTTAATTGCCTGTAATATTTTTTTACTTTTGGAAATGAAGTTAAAAAGAAAGAGAGAGATACCGAGCCTCACCTTGTAGCAGGTGACCTGGTCCAGAGGGCGAGGCCCTCTGTTCATGCCCATGTTGTTCTGCTGAACACCAGAGTTGATGTTATTCGGCTGCCGCTGGATGGGACTGGTGTTGGTCAGCTGGATGAGAGAGAGGGACGAGCGATTGACGGTGGACCCAGTCTGCAACAACAAACAAACTTAGGAATTAATAACACATCAGCAGACAAAGTCAAACACACATAAAATGACTAAATCCAACAAGAAGCAGATTTCAGCAAGCAAGACATCCAATCGTCGGTTTTATTGCAGGTTTGTTACCCTGGCTAAAAACATGTTACCTTGCTCTGGTTCTGTGCTTGCTGTGGGAGAGGGGGCTGTTCAGATGTTCCCATCGGCAGCTCAAACCGAGGGCTGGAGAAAATAAAAAACGATTAATTCTAATTCTTTAAAGTTTAATTCTTATCTAAAATGAAAACCGGTACAATGAGAGAGCTGTAATAAAATAATGTCCTTACTGCATGAATTTACAGGATTTCCCTTCAGGACAGAAGCCCACCAGGTAGTTTACACAGATTACTCTTCTTGTGTGTCTGTGTCTGCAGTCAGGACCTGAGGAGGAGCAGTTGCACCAAGTTAGAGGTCAAATACATCAAATCTAATGTAGATTTGTCAAAGACACGGATAGATGTTCTGCCAATGCATCATTTCATTTCACAGGAAGCTCCTCATACTTGAGCTGGACCTCACCGTGTTTACAGAATCCTCGATCATACCAAGGACAGTCTTTGATCTTTGACTCTGGATCAATGTGCAGGAAGGGGCATTCCTTGTTGCTACACTCCCCTGAGGGATAAAACATGCCCTCATTAGCACCAGACAGGGCAAGAGGTTGGTGGCTGACAGGTCTGAGAAAGATGCAACCAATCAGAAAACACGTGTGAACGAACCGAATTTTGAGTAGAAGTAGCATTCAGGCATCTTGGTCATGTCGTATTCATGGAGAAACTCGCACTGGTCTCCCTTCTTGCACAGCCCCCTGAGCCAGTGTTTGCACACTACCGTCTTCTCTCCGCTAATGTGACGGAAAGGACACATCCCACCTAAACAAAAAAATTGATCACAGTCAATATTATACATCAGTTTAAGGAGTAAAACATTGATTAGTTGTTGGCAAAATTTCTACACACTTTGTGCTAGAAATAGGACTACAGCTTTAACTCTTTATTATAGTGTGACCATACTTTTTATGAGTTAAAACAGTTATAAGAGGAATGTGTAATAGATTAGTTGTTTTTTATACTTTCTTTCATATTTTTGCACTAATCTGAACCTGGAAATATAGAAACCAAATACAGTTTTCCAAACTGCTGCCACCTGTCACCACAGAAAATGTACAGGTCTGATTGTGTTTGGTTGACCTTAAAGCAAAGCAGAAACCAAGTTTGGGCTAACCGTTTTATATATGTGAATAGTTTACTTTTAGAAAATATAAAAAGCAACACAGAAGAACAGTGATTGCGTCCTATATTTAGACGTTACACTGAAACCCTGGTAGAGGATGTTTTTGATCAATCTTATGCTATAATACAAAAACCCCACAAGCAATAGTAAGAAACGCACTATGATTTAAGGACAAGCGATCTAAACCATTAAAGGGAAAAAAAAGTTTGTTTTAATTGCAAAAAAAGAACAAAAATGGACTAAATAGAACATTAATAATTACAGACATATACAAGGACAAATAGCTTAAAAGAACAGAACAATTATTTTAAAATGTCAAAATCAAATCTATGCTGAGCAATTATAATTTGCATGGCTTTAGCATTTGAACTCATTTTTAAGGATTCTATATAGATAAATAAAAAAATCTGTTTTGACCAGTTCACATTTCTCCATCCCAAACAAACATCCCTATCTGTTAAAGTAATGTTAAGATTTTTTTGATGGAAAAAAATTGACATCTCTATCCAGAACATTTTGGTATAATTACAATCCCAAAAAAAAAGATGAATAAGCTTTTCTTCATTATTTTTTTTTTACAAAAAAAAGTTCACATTGGGTCCAAATCCCATGTATATCTTTTTATGAAAAATGCTTTAAGGGAACATGTTTTGAATAATAAGATATTTTCTCTGTGATACAATTTCGGAAGCTAAGCTGTTAACCCAGCACCTGTTTTAACAGCGTTTTCTATTGGTTCTTTACCTTTCATACATGCTCCTCTAACGAAGAACTCACACACAGCCGACCCAGACTCTATAAGCAGAAAAAAAATGATACAATTAATAAAAAGTTGAAGAAAACGTGTCCATCCGCGGCGGTTTAGTTTCTGTTAGTTCCTCTGGTTCCCAAACAGCAGCTAGTAGCAGTTAGCACTTACTATCCATGCCAGGGAAAGGCAGCGGCTGTGCCCCTAACTGTTGCTCCACAGCAAACTCCAAGTCAAACTTGATGTGGTCCACGTTGGCCAGTAACTCCTGCATGTCTGTGGTAGTTTGCAGCTCTCAAAGCGAAGACCTGAAAGGTTATTTCTCCTTTAAGCTAGCTGGAAGTCGAACCTGTTAGCTAGTAACTGACCAGCTTCTGGCAGCATAAAGGGTTAGCCAGGCTAACCGACGAGCAAGTAACAGCTGGAAACCATCGACGTTGCTGGTGTTTGTTCCTTCAATGTTTCAAAAACAAATTTCAAACACTACCATGGCTCATATCTATACTAATTATTGTTTTATTTGTTAACGCGCTGCTTCTAGCTCCGTTTGAGGAGGCGCGCACCGGATCCAGACTGAAATAATCGATCCCCGAGCGATGAGCGGTTGCATACCTGAATAATCAGCAATATTTTCCTAACAAGTACTTGACAGTATTAGAAGCAAAATAAAAAAAAA